ACTTGATCTCCTTTCCACAAACCATTTCCCACTTTAAGTTTAACGAGATCAGCGGCCAAATAAAGTTTTTTATTAAGGTTAATATAATTTTATTATCGAAGAAAAAATTGGAAATAATTAAACGAAATAAAACACAAAAGTGTTTTACATACTGCAAAAGGAGACCACGTTTTTTATTTCTTAGTTACTAAAAATCAACAAATAGTGAAATATTCTGATGATTTCTAAGATTCAGATTCCCTAAACGTAATTGTGTAATTATCATAACATGTATTTTCACATAGATTTCTTACATTTGAGACATTAAAACCATAAATAGAAGATTGTAAAGTCATACCTGACTTTATATTTTTATAAAAATTAATAAACCCTGGTTTGAAATATAATGCTTTGACAGCAGAAAATTAATTAAAAATACCTGGATAGCATAGCCGATGATATCGCGAAACAATAAGCTAATCGAATTATCGCTCCTGCGGGAGCATGACGAAAAACAAAAGACAGGGAGGGATCGGAACGAGTCGTCGAGTTGTTTACAAGGGACCGGCGACGGCCCCGTGTTTTATAGCCGGCCCGGGGATTGCGGTAAAGGTGGGAATAGATTATCGTTAAAATTTAAAGCCTCGCCGACGCGATATTTTTGGCTTTGAACTTTTTTACAGCGTGAAAAAGTTTGCGCTTTCGAACAAAGGGAAAATATATGGCATGTAGGTATACTTTAAGGATTAGGAGACAATTTTAAATGTGTTTAGATTATTTCTTTATTCTTGTCACGGTTAACTTAGTTGCTATATTCTATCTCTAATTTTGCTTACTTCAAAATGTTATAATCAAGACAAACAATAGGCTTCGCCATTCGTCATCCACTTGCCCTTATCCCTTATGGAGGGTCGGCACAGTATGTGCTGCTCTTCCATACATCTCTATCAGCCGTCATATCTGAATTCACTCCTTTCTTAAGCATATCTTCTTTCACACAATCCATCCATACTTTCTTCGGTCTTCCTCTTCCTTTGTAGCCATCCACATTCAATCTCAACACTTTCTGGTTTATGTCCCCATCATTTCGTCGCATAACATGTCCATACCACGCTAACCTTTTGCTTCTCAATTTCTCCACCACTGGCGCTACTTTCAAACTTCCTCTAATGTACACATTCTTAACTTTATCCATTCTTGTCACACCACACATCCATCTTAACATACGCATCTCAGCCACATGCAATCTCTTTTCATCCGCAACTTTGGTGGGCCAACATTCAGATCCATACAATACGACAGGTCTTATGATGGACTTGTAGATCTGTCCCTTAAGCCTAAGAGGCATTCTTCGATCACAAGTCACACCAGTAACCTGTCGCCATTTCATCCAACCTGCATTTATTCGGCTTTTTACGTCTCGGTCAACGCCACCGTCGGACTGGACTAGAGAGCCTTTGTTAATACAAAATACCTTTTAGATTTGACTATAGTCTTCTATAGAATAAATTTTTCCTTTGCTTGACCAAAAAAATATCTATTTTCTTTTATAGATAACATCAAATATAAAGGCAATGGTCACAAAACATTTCGTTGTCCTCTTTTGTCAACTTATCCTATTACAAAAGGCAATCTAAGTCATTGAATTCGTAGAATCATGTCATTCTTGTGTAAATTTTATCAAGAAAATCGACAAAAATCCGGCCTAAAAAGCTTATATGTCCATCATTTTGTCATTCGAAGATTTTCGTTATTTTGAAAGGAAACCTTTTTGTTATATTTATTCCGTTGAAATGAAATGTTTTGAATACGTCCCGATGTAAGGGAATAATGGTATATCCTCCTTTACATAAGCCATTGCGTTGTAGCCCTTGGTATACTGAAATCTAAGTGTCAAATTAAATAGTCTGGAAGAGCATATAGGCTACATGATAAGTTTTTAAACTAAGTGTAATTTTGCAGTTGAAGTCTCGTTTGAATGCCAATTAAAATAGCTTCGCCAGTGACTCCGTCAGCGTGGAATTTAAAAAAAAAACCAACGTGTGTTTTTTTCTAGACTTTCCTCTATATCTATGCCATAATTTCATCGTAATCCGTTCAGCCTTTTAGGCTACAAACTCTAACAAACATCCATCTATTTATCTAAATTTTCGCATTTATAACATTAGTAAGATTTAGATATCAAAAAGAATTATTTAGATATCAATTAATAAAAAAATTATATCAACACAATATAACGGAAAGATAAATTTTATTGCATACATTATGTTTATAAAATAATATACTAAGTACTAAACCATAGTTAGAAGCAATTTATTAATAGTGACGTAAAATAGTGCCTTCCTAGAACAAGGCTGACATAAATTGCTTCGTAGACTCGCCCAGTTAACGAGCTAGCCGGAGGTGGGTGAGTGTACAATCAATCAATAATTTCTTTATTGTACACAAATATAGAAACGGGTCCGATGTTATTGAGGACATCGTAACAAGTAACGTATTGATTTGTTACATATTTTATAAGTTATTGATTAGTAATGGAACTGGTTATATGTTTTTACAAAATATGTAAAGGTGAGTGAAGAATGGCCTTACGAGGTGGAATATAACATTCACGTGGAGCGGCTTGTTGATCGCTCTGATTGCTCGCCATGTAACATGTTACATTACACCGCGTAACTTACTTTGCCTTACATCAATTTTTACCTTAATATATTTACAAGTTAATATGTCTTGTTAACTAAATAAAACTTTAATAAATTTTACACAAAATAACCATGTCATATTCCTATTTAAATTCTGGATGAATAATTATTAACAAATAATTGTTTTAAAACACAATCCTACTTTTGTTTGTGGATCGTAATAAAACAGAGCACAGTTTCAGCTTTTCAGGCGACCCTAATTAATCCCATAATGCCTCGTCGACATGAAATGGAAAAAACTACCGCCGACTCTGGAAGGTTTTCAAATAATTTGTCATTGTTATAATGATCCTCGTTTTAAGAACAAACAAATTTAAACGATGTATTGTAATTCTTAATTTTTATATCCCTTACATTGATGTGGATTAGATTCTAATTTTAAAAAGTTACGCACTTATTATGTTTATGGCCGTGTCTACAAAGAGACTATTTTGTTAACTTTTTTATTGAATCTTGGCAACAGCGACACGTCTGTACGCTACGAAGTATAATGACAAAATGAGTCACCATACCAATAATCTGTAGGTAGACACAAAACGATTCCTTTTTTTATTTAGTTATAAAGTAAATAAAAACCTGAACAAGTCTACGTTTTGATCCCACAATATTCGTTTAATATTCAAACTAATTTCGTAAACCTACAACTTCTTGTTGGGACGAATTATTGTAGCTGTCATAGTATGGCGTCCGTCCAGGATATTATTAAAGCGGTCATGTTAGATACATTAATAATCATAGTTGCTGAGGCATACCAATGTTTTGATGTGAATACGAGACACAAATAATATGAGAGTTATTATTTAGTATTCAATGTCTATTTTAAGTCTGATGCTAGTAATAAGTTCGTTGCTCCTCCAGATTTATAATGAAAAAGTGTTTTATGTCGTTGAAATCTCTAAATAAAAATAGTTTTACGAACTGACTACTTTTTAATTTAAAACCAAGCTGTTACAACGTTTTATTCTGGTTATCTTAAATCGGTTTAATATCTCAACAAAGTTTAAAAACTAAATTTGAACGTATATAACATTCACGATTCTATTAACCGTAACCTTCTTTGACATTCACAATGTATTAAATCTACTTTAAAGCAGCTTTAGTATCTTTACTAGAAGATAACATCCAACCTTGAGAGGTCGAGCCTAAGCATTCTAGTCACGAGCCGTGCCACTCGCTGCAAATCCCTAAAGTAATTGAATGGTTCAGTTGTAAAGTGTATTGGAAGGCGATTGGCTATACAGCGTATAGACATCAGTATAGACCCCCGTTCGGAATAGTCCCACAGCCGTACGCCGTCGAAAAGTTTAACGGGCTCCTACGTTAAGGTATTAGGAGTTCAGTTAACAGTTTAGAGAAAATTGTTCCATTCTGTAGCTGTAATAAAGTTTATCGGAACATTTATACGAAACTGTTCGACGCTTGGGACATCGAGCGTATTAGTGTTGTTACGGAGTGAATTGATGTTAATTAAACATACGATTTCAAGTATAATTAAACAATCAGTTGGATCTTGGAGTCTTAGAAGTATGAGAGAGTTAAATTGATATATACCTAAATATTGTATAACCTAAGAAAGTATAGATCGCGTGAAAGAAGATATGCCTGAGAAGGGAGTGAAGTCGTATATAGAGGTGTATGGAAGAGCAGTACAACATACTATGCTGACCATGTAGGAACTAGTGCAAATTGCTGACTAGTTTTTTGATAGTGTTCAAGATGGACCATCAAATAAAAGAAATAGTAGTGTTAATTTGGTATCGCCGTCTATAACAAACATTTATGAAATTAAATGCTTTATGGAATTAGACATAGAAAGAAAAAAATGTTAGAAACATAAATCTGCCTGCGTCGGCTTTGGTTGGGAAATTAAAATATTTCTGTTCAGGTTAAGAGTTATGAATGGGTGAAGATTGGAGTGAGACAGTTCCACATGAGGGGTCAACGAACTTATCTATTTCGGTTTCTTTGAGGTGAGAAGTCGGTTAAATTAACGCGACGGATTGTTAACGCACGTGTCTGGTAAAAAGTAGAATGACATTAAATGCTTAAAAATAAACGTCTGCATATTTTCAAACTACCTCTGTTTAAGAAAAAGTTATAACCTCACATTCTCGGTGTGATTATGCATTACGTTCAAACATCGTACATTTTTCTAGACAGTCTCGTTAGACACTGTTATGCATCTTTCGCAAATTCACGTGAACTTAGGGTAGTCTTTGATAGTTTTACTATTTATTATCCAACTTTTAAACTCGATTTATAGTTTCATTAAATTTGAAAGCGTTTGAAGTACGATATAACTCTATTCTTTTGTTTCAGATACAACGAGAACGAATGAAATGATCGCAAATTGTAGATAATGATTGACTGTACACATCTATGATGTTGCTGAACACATTATTGTTGTTGCTGCCGCTTTTGGCGGTTGCGGCGGCTGCGGAAGATGGATGCAATCCTGACAAGATGACGGTCTACCGAATGGTACTGCACACTTATTGGACGAGAGAGAAGTTCCCGAAGCACTACCCGGACTGGAGACCTCCGGCGCAGTGGTCACGAATCTATGGTGAGTTAGTTGTAAACTAACTGAGTAGCTCAGTAGTAGTAGTAGTAGAGAGAGAGAGAGTCTTTGATAATAGTCATAGACTAATTAATGACAAAGTAAGTGACAATTATTTATTCACCTCTTACTTTTTACTGAAGAGTTACTATGTCTTTTAAGATTTGGTGTCCTTATCTTAAACTTACTTACCCTAGAATATAGATTTCAATTTTCTTTACTATGTTTCATGTCAAATACGTCTGAAAACATGTTTTTTTACCAAACTCTGTAAAATACATGTTTACATTTATTTATTTTTTTCTGCCCTATAAATACTTATAAAACCGTACATTCGGAAACACATGTAAGCCGCAAAAAATATTAAAAAAAACAACTAAGTCGAAAGTCGTATAAACGTATCGTATAACGCCAAAATGTCCTTTTCAAGATTCCTTAATGCCTTCAATTTACAATTTTCCCTTTGACGTGGAGAGCGTATCTCGAATCCGGCGTTCCACTCGGCGAATTTACAAAACAATGCCTAATCTTTTAAGACATCCCTTTGTACGTAAACGATAATGTTAAATTATTTTATTTACGCCGTACTTTTGCCAAGAAATAAACGCCTTAACATTTTGTCGACCAAAATGGCTCCATTTGTTACGGAGAGTCGTATATTTTTGTATTACTTTATGTTCCTTTTGATGAACAAATAAGCACTTATGATCGTTTTATGATAACAGGTTGGATGATGTACAATTTAATTTATTTAAATAGTTTTTTGATTATATCTAAAAACATTACGGTGAAGGAAAACATCGTGATGCAACCTGCACATATCTGCGAAGAAATTCAAAGATATGTGTGAAGTCAACCAAACCGGAATGGGCCAGCGTGGTTGACTATGGCCTATTCACCCCTTATTAGGGAAGGCTCCGAGCCCCTCGGTGGTGACGTATAGTGGACGTATAGCTGGTGATGATGATGATCCAAAAACATCCATAAGTTACATATTTCCATATTTCTTAAATTTCGAATACTACATAATTGAACAATCTTAGAAAAGTAAATTATTAAGTAAAATATTTGATTCCAGTTTTAAGATTGTCTTTCGTTTCTTAAAAGACTAAAAGCCACTTCTACTATATGATATCCTTCATTTAACATTTTATAAATGTGAATTATAAATAAGAGTTTGACAAATGTCTTTCTTCATCCAATCCAAAGTTGGTTAAATTCCTAGCATCCATTTTAACAGAAGACATAAAATGGTGTTAAAACCGCCTAAACGTAATAACAAATTCGAATTTTGAAACAAATTATGTCTGCATATAAAGTTATGAAAACATGATATAGATGGGCAATAAAGTGCGCCCAAAATACTCGTAGCGGTATATTTTATCGTTGTATAAAATGTTTTCCGTATGAATTGGTAACAGTTACAGAATCCCTTTTAGCCAGGGAGTGATGAAATGAGGATTTATTAGACAAGCACATATGTTCGCTATTGGTTTCCACTGTTAAAACACTTGTATTATACCTACCTTTTATATTAAAAACAAACAGGTTGAGTCTTTAAAATAGCGCCATCTATTGGCTGCTTTATTAAACTAAGATTTTTAAAAAAATAAACCTGTAACATATTCTTATTTATAATACATCTACTTTAAATGTCGAAAAAAGTTTATTAGAAATAATAAAATTGTTTAAAACAAATTTATCTTACTAATGAAAATTTGATAGTTGGATGAAGGAATGTTTGATAGAGTTTGCCTTCTAAACGATTAAGGGATCACAAAGAAAGTTAGCGTAGATGTAGGGCAGTCTAGAAGAACATATAGGCAACGTGCTTTTGTTTATTTTTTAATTCCACGCGGATGGAGTCGAAGGAAATGCTAGTAGTAAATGAACGAGAATTTGACCACGAAAATAAATGCAATGCTCAAAAAATACTAGGCCAAAAATACATTAGTCATAGTTATCTGTTGTGGCCGAAACTGGTCCTCGGTAATTGAACATGGGCCAAGACGTGAGTCATCCATCGGGCTCCCCTGACACATCACTGGTTGCATTGGCTCAATTACAATTCAGAGAGACTTATTTTCGTACTACTATCGTTGCTATGAGTAAAAAATTATAATGATTCGTGTAAACAGAAATAGTATAGTCTACGTCTAGTCTGGAAAGATATTCTTTATTCCCACACTCATATTATTTAGTTTTAGTCTTATTACAATACTAGTTTTAGACCGCGACTCCGTCCGTGTGGAATTATAAAAGTAACAGTAAATAGCTTATGTGTTCTTCCAGACTATGCTCTACGTCTATGCCAAATTTAATCGTGAACCGTTCAGTCGTTTAAGCGGTAAACTCTAACAAACATCCATCCATCTACACTTTCGCATTTATAATTAATGAATGGTGTTATGCAATAAACGACCAATATGGAAAGAATACGTATTATCTTAGATTTATTGTAACATAATTGTGTAAACAATTTACGTAATTTTAAAACGTGTTACACCTTGGTACGAAGCGTTACAGAAATTTTCACAAAATCTAAGCATTTCGGTGCGACTTATTTGAGGACAAATTACGAAAAGTAACTACAATATAACTTAGTTTCCTGTTTAATGAAGGAAAGGGACTTTGTCCACAGTAATATTGATGACGTCATTACGTAGATTTCTTCACTGTTCTAAGGAAAAGAAATGAGAATACACGTAGACTAACAAGTGTCATTAGTTTAAAGTGCGTCTGTTAATCGCTAGCGTTCTTTTTAATATGTATGTAGCGTTATCTGTGTTCCGACCACTGATCTGTATAAATGGGTAGGACTTTGTTGGTGACAGCTTTTGCTTCTCTTTAAACGTTCTGATTTAAACAACTGACGCGTTTTAGTACATTTATTAATATACTATAGTCTACACTAATATTATAAAGAGGAAAGATTTGTATTTTTGTATGTATAGAAATAACTCAAAAACTGCTAGGACGATTTAAAAAAATATTTCACGATTAGAAAGCTATGTTATATAGTAACATAGGCTATATTTTTTATTATAATTAATTTCACGCAGACGAAATCGCGAGCATCAGCTAGTCAATGCTAATATAATAAAGAGGAAAGATTTATATTTTTTAATGTAATGAAGTAACTCAAAAACAACAAGGCCACTTTTAATAATTCTTTCACCTTTAAAAAGCTACGTTATCAGGGAGTAGCATAGGCTATAATTTTTATTATTTTTCAATTCCACGCGGACAAAGTGGCGAGCAACAGCTACTTTATTAATATAGCAAATGTTTTACTTGTTAACGCAATGTAATGTATTTTCATTATTCCATTGTAGTTTATCAGAAAACCGCAAGCTACCCAATACAATCAATACAGTTGCGTCACTTCCATAAGCAATCATATGACCATACATTGTCATATACTAGAATATCTTGGGTTTTGCTCGTCTTTTTTAATTCATTAAAACTTTGTACTAATTTATTCTAAAACAATTTACTTATAGTAAAAATATTAACAATGGTAGAGCCCGCTTTAACATCTTCGCACGAATGAGCCGGCTCGCGCGGTGTAATACCACGACCACACAGAAGACAGGCGTGAAGTGGAAGCAATAACGCATTTCGTCTGATGAGTGTGGTGCCGCAGGCCACATTTTAGTACCTTTCCCTTTCCACCCTTTTTTTAAGAGGAAAGGATGGGATGGAAAAGAGGATTTAACGATGGAGGAGAAGCATAGGAAGGGGAAATGTGCTCTTGATGTGCGTCTCCTCCTCCGTCAATTAAGGGTAGGCAACGCATATGCAATTGCGGATGTTTATGGGCAGCGGTCGCTTTCCATTTCGGTGGATTTAGGTAGCCGCTTGCTTGTTTGCCACGTTATTATTATTAAAAAAAAACATTTTGATATAAATTATAATCGCTAGAGTCATATTGAAATTGACAATGTAAATGTTGAGATTGCAAAAATGTTTGTAATCTCTGATTGCTGAAGGTCATTGTAAATTCGTTTATATTTATTTAATTGAAGAGAATTTAACCGTTATATGTATGATCTTTATAAACAATGTCCATGTTTTCAGAATCGTATTCAAATGATGTTTTTATAAACTTCTCACACTGTTGATTTGGAACAAGTGGGAAGAAAGAAATTAGTGTCACACAAGTCTTGATTTTCAAGAATTCATTGTTATTCTTGTTAAATGGGAAAGAAGTGCGACATATTGTTTATTATAATTCTTGTCAGCTTTTAAAGAAACCGAAACGACTGAGGTAACTCAAATTGGTATAGTTTTTAAAGATATATACATAAATATAGATATAATTATGTTTCTCCGTCCTAAAAAATTTTTCAATTTTCAACATTCGCTTCGGATAGTAGTTGAATTAAAAAAAATGCTTGTGTTATCGACTTAGTATCCGATGTATTAAAAGTTCATGGATAATGGATACGGTTGTTGTATTGACTTTTATTATAAATGTCCGTGTTGGCAGCAATGGGATATATTTGCATATATGACAAAGCAACACCTTGCTGATGGTTATATTGCGTATAACTATAATTATTGTCCATTCCAGTGAACAAAGTACTGTTTAAAGTCGAAGTGTTTAAAGTATCTCGGTAGATTACACTTAGTATTACGAAAGACACTAACTGTAGACTAAAAAGGAGTAACAATTTTCCAATTCGTGTATCAAAAACTCTCTCATGTGTATTGTGAGCGTAGGAATCGATCGAACGCAAGCCGACCGAGGCTGTTAATCAACGAGAGGAAACAACCGCGGACCTTTTCGACAACATTTCAGCTTCCACGCGATCCCTCCCCCAGCCTTGGGACCTGTTAAAATGATGAACACATGTTTTTCAAATGAGGGACGAAACCTATCTTATATCAAACGTTATGTATTTTCCTTTATTTCTATGTAGACTGTGGAATGTTTGATTCAATTCGACATGTGTTTATCACATTGCGGCGGGCGTACACCTTGGAATGAACTATCTCACAACGATGTGCGATTGTCGATTGTTTAGTAACCAATTAAACTGTTTAGTGTGCACACCTCCGTATAAGGTCATAGGAATCAAAGCGAGACTAAACAACTATTAACAGTGGTAGAGCCCGCTTTAACATCTTCGCACGAATGGGTCGGCTCGCCCGGTGTAATACCACGACCACACAGAAAACAGGCGTGAAGTGGAAGCAATTCCGCGTTTCGTCTGATGAGTGTGGTGCCGGAGACCTAATTTTATTCCCTTCCCCTTTCCACCCTTTTCTTAATAGGAAAGGATGGGGAGGAAAAGTGGATTTGACAGTGGCGGAGACGCATAGGAAGGGGAATGTCCTCTTTATGTGCGTCTCCTCCTCCGTCAATTAAGGGTAGGTAACGCATCTGCAATGGCGTATGTTTATGGGCAGCGGTCGCTTTCCATTTCGGTGGATTCAGGTGGCCGCTTGGTCGTTTGCCACCTTATGTTATAAAAAAAAAAAAACGGTTGTGCGATAATTTAGTTTAAGATGATCACGATCTTAGCTTTCGTATAATCATTTTTTTTCTTATCAGAACTTTATTAAAATGAAATAATAAGTTTCAAGATCCTTACTTTATATTATAAAAGTTTTCCAACAAAATAAAAACGTAGAATACGACCCGCGACGGTATTTTAATAAAAAAAAATCAAATAGCCCCGGGACTGTTACGAACATAAAATTTGTTGGAACTCTCAGATTAAAAAGTTTGCCAACGGGGAGATCTGGAAGAGCAACAAATTCTGAAATATCTCTCAAGGCTTATGTTTACAAAGCAATTTGCTACCCTTTTTTCGCGCCTTTCACAGTCCATCTGAGATTTAATATAACTTCATTAAACTTCGCGTTTAGTAAATCTTCGTTACTTTTTTATAGAACAACATTGTAAAGATTCAGTACAAAACTTTATATACTTCAGATACTTGAAGCGGACGCATATCTTTGAATAAATTACCGCACACCAGTTGCGCGATTGTCGATTGTTTCGTAGCTAATATAACTGTTTAATTGCACAACTAAAAATCGAGTAGTGTGCGCTCTATATAAGGTCATAGGAATCAAAGCGCGACTAAACAATTGTGCGATAGTTTAGTCGAAGTTGTGCGCGCGTTCTTAGAAAGGTTTTCTAAATAGCATCATTTAAAATTATAGTTAGTGAAAAAAATACTCCAACCATAACAATCCCTAATTTATTTCTACTCATGTGAATCTTAATCTACTCTGCTCAAGGTCATTTGGTTGCCAAAGAAGGCCCCTAGTGGGTATTTAGTTAGAGAAACATACGCTAACAGACTAAAGAAGGACCCTAGTGTGTATTCAGTAAGATAAATATACGCTAACAGACTAAAGAAGGACCCTAGTGTGTATTTAGTAAGAGAAATATACGATAACAGACTTAAGAAAGACCCTAGTGTTTATTTAGTAGTCGAAATATACACTAAGGGGCTACTATAACTTGTAATTTTTTACACAGGTGTATCACACAATCGTCAGTACGTATTATTCCGTCTGGGTCGTCGTGTGTCGCCACCAGTACGACAGTTCGCGGAGTCGGGTCACTCGGAAGCACTCAGCTCGGGCCCCGGGACAATGGACGTGTTCACTGCACCCGCGATATCACAAGGCGCGGGTCGTACTGAAGCGGAGTTCTTCGTCGATGGAAATCACTCTAGGGTAAGTGTTACCTTGAATATTTAACGGCAAAATTCGACTGCCTACACTTATGTATATCTATACTAATATTCCAGAGGAAAGATTTGTATTTTTGTATATATTGAAAAAACTCAAACGACTAGGCAGATTTTAATAACACTTACTCCATTAAAAAGCTACGTTATCGCTGAATAACGTAGGCTATACTTTTTAATATCACGTGGACGAAGTCGCTAGCAACAGCTAGTAAATATTTTAGTCTTACAAAGTTCGTAACAGAACTAACTTCTGTAGTAGCCAGACTCACCATGAATTCTTATTTGACTGAATAATGACAATAATAATAATAATAATGACATAAATAATGAACTCTTCATTATTTATGAAAGTTTTATTATATTTAATGAGCTGTCCTTTAAAATACAGATAACATAAAATAAAATACAATGTACATCCTACACAAAGATAACAAAATTCCGCGAATTTGTGTTCAATAAACAACTATATTGACAGAGTTTCGATAATTTCACAATTAGTTACTAGTACATACAAAATATCAGTATTTCGACATTAATTAATACCCCAGAAAGCAAACAATTACCCGTCAATTTGAACGGATAAAAAAGCGACGCAGCCAATTCGAATTGACGTACAAGAGGGGTCGAAATTTATCGTGTTTACCATCAAAGTTACTTTATGGGCGGTTGGAATTAATTTTAATCAGTACTTTATTGCAATGTAATGGTTCAACATTTATGTTCTTGTAAACTAGTTGGGTTTTATCTCCGATAGTCAATTGTTTCTTACAAAAGTAACGATTTTTGTCACGCTCTAAACGAAAATAATTGAAGATTATTAGAAAGAACGATCGTATGTATATACTAAAGAATCGGAGCAAATGGTCTACAATCTTGGATGGATTGATGGAAGGATGGATATTTGTTAGAGTTTGTAGCCTAAACTGCTGAACGGATCTCAATGAAATTTGGCATACATGTAGAGGATAGTAAGGAAGAACACATAGGCTTCTTGGTTTTTTTTAATACAACGCGGATGGAGTCACGGGCGGAAGCTAGTTAGTTATAAAAATAGTAGTAACAAATTAAAGTTTTAATTTAAATTTTGTACACTTAGTAATACATCTTTCTATAAAGTATAATCAACATAAAGTAAGGATATAAAAGGGACCATTTACTTTATTCCCGCTGATAAGCTTAGATATAAAAGTGTTATTAAGATAAACGGCGAAAGACAGTGAAGTACAAAATAGAGAGCACGCTACAAAGCCTTTGTTTTGAGACAAAGTTGTCTTAAGCGTGAGAGGTATAACTGCAAACGAAGATAAGCCCGGTATTCTTCTCTCTAGTCGGATATAACATTGTGCTTAAATCACAAAGGAAGTTTATACAGGCGAAACAATTCCCAACTCTGTTCTGACTATCTCATTCGTCTCGAATATTCTATTGCGTAATTATGTTTCTGAAAGTGTTGCAGAATACAAACACAAAGAACTTAGAATAAGGCGAAAAGTAGTTTCATCAAAAAATGTCAAATATTGTATGAGAGAATAAGTTACGGATGGTCGATGATGTCCAAAATTGTGTTGACAACGAGTCCAAGATTCATGAGAAATACTAGAATATTTTTGGAGAGAGTATTTAAACACAGTTTAAATTTCTGATAGTTATGAAAATTGATAGAATTTTATTTTTGTCAGGTGTCAGTGATGACAAAAATGATCCCGTCTCCCGACTGGTTCATAGGCGTGGACAGCTTCGATCTGTGCGTTGATGGTAATTGGCTCGACAGCATCACTATTGAAGTAAGTTCTTTAACAATCTTTACCACGGATTTCCACTTCCTAAGCATTCATTCTGAAACATTATTCTTATGATCATTACATTATATTTAAAATGTTAGATACTGGTTCTAAATTATTACTCAAATGATTAATTTACGATGTAGACGAATTCAATTTCATTACTTGTATAGTTTAGTTATTTAATTTGGCCTTTGGTATCTCAGGTGGACCCTGTAGACGCGGGCACGGACAATGGCTTCACATTCACCGCCCCCAACTGGCCGACCGCGCCGCAGGGGGTCGCCTACCGCATCACATCAAAGTACCCCTCCCACCCCGCAGGCTCATTCTTCTACCCCCATCTGAGAAGACTGCCCCCTATCGCTACCTTCCAATTCATTAAAGTAAGTAAACTTTGTTTTGTACTGTTCATTACTGCATATAACATTTATGTCGTTAATTCTAATTGACTCTTTTCTGTCATCAATTCTAAAACTTCAATTAGAAGTATATTTTATTAAGAACGTCTTGTTTTTCATTAATAATGTTAAATATAAAATAATTAAAAGTTTCGTAATTAAATTAACAGATACAATGTGGCATGTAACAAATCACTTAACAAACATTTGCTAAAATATTTTGTCAGATATTTATTCCAATGCTATATTTAAAATTCTTCAACAGCTACGAGAATACGAACTCTCAGAAGTGTTCCACCGAGAGAATGACGACCGAAAATACGATGTTCTACAATTAGACAAACACAACCACAATAACATCGATGTGTTGGACGGAAATAGGGCGCTCGCCATAGCTGAGGAAGTGGAGAGAGCTGAACAAGCGCCAAGGATATATTCCGAAGGCTCAATGACGACAGTTGATAGCGCTTATTCGTTTTATTCTCTGTAAGTGGAATTATTTATTGTAACTCATATCAGCGTCGTAGACACATATCACTAGCAAACAATCTGGTTACATGAGCCTATGGAAGACAAAATCATATGTTCGTGAAATCTGATCGGTGTAATTAAAGAGCCTAAGCTTAAATGTTGACTAATTTTCTGAACAGACAAGTAACTTATATAAAATGTTTATCTTCAAGCAACTACAAATTAAAAGAAAATCCAAACTCAATATGCCAAGTACTGTCTCTCATCAAATTTCTAGAAACTGAATCCACCCTGAATTCTAATTTCTAATCTCCCGTACAGTACGAATACAACAGCGAGCACAACTGAAGAGCCACGATCAGCTAATGAACTGCCTACATCTGGCCCAACGGCCAGCGAGAGGTCTGCTCTGCGCAGTCTGGCACGGCGGTACCGAGCGCGCCGGCGACGCAAGCTGCGTGCTGACAACACGGACCCTGCTGAGAGGAGGAAGCGGAAAAGAGCTAGTAAGAAACACAAAATAACTTATATTGTTGTTCCCACAAATATAATGATGTGCAAGCGATGGAGTGTGAATACAATATAATTGCAGGGCTCCTAGACTGCCGTGTATCGGACTGGGGCGAGTGGAGTCCATGCCGCAGTGATGGCGGGTGTGTGGGCTCTGCGCTACGGACGAGGCGCATCATCCGACGACAGCGGCCCGGCGGCACGCCCTGTCCCCCCACAGCGCAGTCCCGCTGGTGCGCTACAAACTGCACAGCCCACGAAGACTGGCACAACAATCTCACATGAACCTAATACCCTTAGATTTTTTTTAATTCTTCAATCGTTTCGTATCTTCATATCTTTTTTAAAACCAGCAGGTATTTTACTATAAATATTTATCGACTGAAGTTCTTTCGGATTCCAAAATTGTTTTAGTAAAATTTCTTCTTGACCCGCTCTTTTTAACAAGTTTCTTAGCGTCTGTCTGTCCGTCCAAATTTTTTCTTTTGATTCCATTCAATGTTTATTCGACCTTTGCGTGTAAAATGATGTGTAAAAAAATCATCAATTTTCTGTGTAAAAATACTTTAGTAAGATGACTGTTGATGTTCAGGTTAACAATTTTAGATTTAATTGCATGATTTGCTGCTGTTTATAAGAGCTTCTTTTTGTACTTCATTTCTTTGTCGTCGATTAAACTATCTTGGGAGTTAATTTGATCCTTTACAGAAAATATTTAACTAGATCAAACTGATTTATTCCCTTAACAGTTAAACTTAACAGAATTATTTTATACCCACCCTTAATTAAGTAAATAGGTTAACTTTAGATTAGTTGCGTAAGATAGCAGCCGTACTAAAATTTATTTTTTCAATGCTAGTTTTTTATTTATACAAAAATTATGCTCTAGTACAAAAAATATCGTGTCTTATGCTATAAAAAAAAATACTCACTTGAATTATCTTCCGGATTTACGACCTGTCCCAATAAATTATACATTGTCTGATAACAATCCAAAGTGTAAAATATGTGATGGAATCGGATTGTTACCTTATCTGACAGTGACGTCATTTTTAAGCTATCTGTGCCTCTATCAGTCACTTGTGGGACAGGCGCTTAGTATTATAATTGCTTGTTGAAGTGTAAAATGTGACCATAAATGTATTAAATACTGTTTAAAGATAAAATATTCATAAAGCTGTCTTTTTTTTTCTATCTCTCGATTAACCTCGTGAGGTTGGTCAATTACTAGTGTATTATCTCAATAGTGACATACATATCGTTTACTTAAGAACTATGTGACAGTAATTCAATAATGTAGTATTGATTTAGGAAATTCGAATCCAAAGAAGCAGCTTTTATTTTTAATACAATAAGTGTATAAATAGGTTAGTTATAAAGATAAAATTAATTCAAATCTCTTGATGCTTTCGTGTAAGTCGACAATTTTTGTTCTTTAACGTTTAGAATTTTTACTTAAATAAAGTAAGCATGAAGTACGTATTTTCATGAAATAATTACCATAAATTCAAATTGAGTTTTACTCAATACATTCTGTAAAAAAAAATTAAGAAAATCAACAACTATGCCAAGTTTGAAAAGAGAATGAATTTCATTTTGAAATACTTCCTTTTTTTCTAACATTTACCAAGTTGCTTTATTGAAATAATAATTAAAATTATCTCAAGAGTGTCATCTATTTCATAAGATAACTTGTAGTTTATAAAAAGATTCCAAATTCAAAAATGCAGCCAAAAACGTTGAATTAGAATAATTTAAGTATTGTGTATTTTTTACAATGTAAATTATCTTGATTTCAATAAAAAAACTAAATAACACAAACAATAACTTTCATTTTTATTAATTTCTTATCCCTTAATCTCGTTACCTTTACTTAACTTTACTTTATTTTATCATAAGTATCTATTTTGGTAATTTATCATTGTAATCCTATTACTGGTTAGGCTACGTAACTAAACGTCTGTAGCTGGCTTTATATCACAAATTTCTTGTCACGTCACTTTTTCATAATCTACACTTCTATCTATACTATTATAATAAAGCGTAAACACACACTTCTTTGTTGCTTAAGATGTCAGCAATCACAGCATATTTTCGAATAACACTTTTTTAAAAATCTCATTTACGTCACCCTATATATTTTCACGCCGTTAAAGCTAGGTGTAAATATTTTTGATTATAACCCTAATGTGGGAAAGAGACCATAAGTTATTGCGAACATCAAGGAGGCAAGGTTGGTTTGACATGATGTCATGTCATTTTAACATTTGCAATTGATAATTTGACACATTTAAAGAACAAATTGAAATGTTTATAATTTTATGCATATGAATTCGCATGGGAACAGCTAGTCTTTTATAAACCAATGCTTGACTATCCCACCTAGAGCAAAGTGAATATGTGGTCGTAAGATGGTACGAATTAGTTCAGTAAGTATCTGTTCACATTGCTCTTGAAGGCACCCACGTTATAACTATATGGGAACACTGATGTCGGCAACTTATTCCATTCCTTTGCTGTTAAGAATAATAAAATAACCTCTCTGTATTGTTACCATGAGAAATGTCTCATATTTATTCGCTCGAACCCGCGGCACTTCAACTATGAAAGGATGGTGACCAGCCGTTTCTCTAGGCGTCTGCTGGTAAAAAGGTGATGGAATGAGTTCGTGTAATTCCTTCGCACTTTCCCTGCGGAAATTAGAATTTTAATTAATAAATCAAATTTGTAAGCATACTTGAATGTGAAAAAATTATGATCAATTTCAAATTACAATAGCATAGTCCATGTTTAAAATTTTGTGCTCCGTATTTCGTATTTAAAATAAACGAAACCCCTACGGACACTACCTGAGATACTTAAATGTTGTAAAAACTCTTTAACTTTAAATGCCCTCTTTAGGGAATAAAATTTTCCTTCGCATTTTTTGTTTTCTCTCTAACTTTCCGTTGTTTCAATTTCCAACATTATAAACAGAACCGCAGCGTTGAAATTCGCTTGACAGGATTAAAGGTGACATTTAATACGAAAATTAGCTCGTGTTGCGTCACGAATTGTTGACTTCTTTTCCAGCATACATGACACAATCTGCGCACTGCCTCACGATGTCTCACAGTGCCTCACGCTGCCACACGCTGCCTCACAGTACCTCAAAGTGCCTCACGGAATCTCTAACCTCATTTTTCTCCCATTTAAAATGTTTCTCTGTGCAAACAACTGAGGTTGGAACACGCTATCTCCGGGGACCTACTTTTTTATTAACATCGTGACCCGGTACTTTTAAATTGGGTCGTATAATGATGTTACGGATGATGCGGGGAGAACTTTTTCATGAAACGGAAATTAGAATGACTGCATGGATAGCGAGGTATGGCAATGAATAGTCAAGCCTATGATGTTAAATATAAAAGTGTTATTTTATTTCAACAGATTTTATAAATGAATCGTGGTTATTTCGATTAAAAATAAGCCTTCCATAAGACTGAGATAGTCAACAACTATCAATTCAACCTCCATAACAAATTAATTTCATGTTAATAATGTGCGTCGACAGCCAAAGATCTAAGCAATCTATAGAGGAATAGCGGCCATTAGTATGGTCCTATTCGAAAAAAAATCCTATGTTACACTAGCTGTTGCCCGTGACTTCGACCACGCAATGTTAAGATAAAAAAGTAGCCTATAATATGCCCGTGTATGTCAGCTACCCTCCAGTGAAAATCCGGTCAAAATCAGTCCAGCTATTTCGGAGATTACCCGGAACCCGGAACACAAATTCATTATATTCCCGAAATCTGGATTTTTTTTTTGATATTACAGACACTCCAATTTTATTATATATATATAGAAGATATAGCTATAGATAGATTGTCTGATACATTAAAACGTTTTGACAATATTGCCATCCTCGCGTATTTTCTTTGAAAAAATAATAGCAATATTTTTTATACGACAGTGCCACGCTATTTGCAATGCAATTATCAGATATATTAAACTAGCTTTCGCTCTCGACTCCGTCCGCGTGTAATTAAAATAAACAAAAGTGAGTAGCCTATGTGTTCTTCCAGACTATCCTCTACATCTACACAAAATTTCATCGAAATCCGTTGAGCCGTTTAGGATACAAACTCTAACAAACATCCATCTATCTATCTAAACTTTTGCATTTATAATATTAGTATGATTAGTATGATTATATATCGCAATTGGTTAAAATTAACCTAAATTCATGTTCAAGTTATAACACGCTAAGAATACTTATCTCTTATAACCAGGTTAAGCTTTACTGTGAATCCAGAATGCTTCCAATATTGAGTTCTTTTGTAGAAGACGTCGGTGCTCATATTGGAAATTAAAGATTATATCTGCATAACGAGCTCTTGCCTAAGAATTAAGCACACTTGAAGTTGCAATATTGAGTTTATTTAAACAAGTTTAGCTTTTATTGCTAACTTATAAGGTACGTTTTCGGGTAACATGAATATAATAACAATCTTATTAATTCCAGTAATATAACAAATGCAAAAGTTTATGTGTATTTTTGTTTTGTTTACTGCCTAAACAGATCTCGATTAAATAAAGCATGATGTAAAGTCTGGAGGAACAAATACGTTGTTTAATTTTTTTATTATTATTAAATCCACCGGATACAGTCGCGGGCGAAAGCTAGTCAATTATAAATTGCGACGTTTAGATGGTTGTTATAGCTGTTATGAGTTTTTTTGTAAAATTTTAAATCACAATGGTATAAGCATTATTGTTCAAAGTCTATGGGCAGCGATGACTTCACTAGTTAAGTAATACTAAGTAATCAAATCCTGTTAGTTTGAGAAATTTCTAGATTAACTAACATAAAAATATATTTTCTCATTTGTTACCTAGACTGTCAAAATTGATAATATATTTATGTCAGACCAGAGCAGCAAAACATATAAAAAATCTTGATATCGAACAACCAATAAATTATTTCCAATTCAACAAATGACCTCTAAACATGTCCTGTTAATCGAAGTTTGTTATATCACGCAGTCAAAGTTTATCCATAACACGAGCACAAATCACCGAAGGAAAAGGCAATAAATAAATTGTGTGGATAACGTAGAACGAGACAAGTTTAAAATTCCGTCGCGATCAAAGTTGCGCCGCGAAGCAAAAAGATAAGGCGACTTGCACACGAACAGACGCGAACCCGGACTGCGCGTCGCTTCCGTTCCCTCTACCGAACATTATTCATAGTCTGAGCGTTCAAACTTCCGGCTATACATGACGAAAGTTCAGAGGAATTGCTGTTGACTTACTATGACCATCTACCGTATGCGATATCCGGATGCAATAAAATAGACTCTTTGAATTTTTATTCAGGCAATATGCTCAAATTACTCGTAGTTTTAAGTCTCGATACTCATAACTACGTGAACATCGGTGGCTCAGTGGTTTAAGCACTTGACTTGTAATCTACAGGTCTTGGGTTCGAATCCCGCTGTGTACCAATGTGATTTTCGATTTTTCGAATTTTCATATGTACATAATTTACCCGACGTTCTTACGGTAAAGGAAAACATCGTGATGCAACCTACACATATCGGCGAAGAATTTAAAAATATGTGGGAAGTCGACCAATCCGCACTGGGCCAGCGTGGTTGACTATGGCCTCATCACCCTAATTTAGGGTAGGCTCCGAGCCCCTCGGTGGGGATATAGTGAGCTGGTGATGATGATGAGTCATAACTACGGAAATTATCTACTCGAATTCTATTTTAGAGTAGCTAACGAAACTTGTTAGCAATGTTGTAATTAAGCGATCAGCATGTTTAAATAATCAACGCACATATTTGTATAAAAGGAAATAACTCGTTTGCAAATAAATAACTATTACCAGTATTTAACTAAGTCGAAAAACATAACATTTCGTTGGAACTACACTATTAAAATAGTAATAAAATAATAATACCAATCGCATAATCTTATTAATGTTGTTAATGCGAAAGTTTAGATGGATGGATGTTTGTTAGAGTTTGTAGCCTAAACGGCTGAATGGATCACAAAGAATCTTGAAGTTAGGAAGAACACATACGCTGCTTACTTTTGTTTCATTTTTTTATATGAGGAAGGAGTCGCGGGCGAAAGCTAGTCAGTTAATAAAGTTACAACATTGTAACTTTTTAGCAATGTTACTTTGTCCTCGAAAATTAGCGACAAGAATAAACAAATAAAATAAATCAATGCTCAATATCTATATGTCAGAAGAATTAATTATGAACCGCATAATTCTAGTGAATAGGCGGAGGAAGCCTTTGTGTTAGCGCAAAAAGACAAAACAATACCGGCTTTTGTCTCTTTTAGAGGGCGTTCTAAGTTCCCGGAATTTCTAATAAAAAAACTCGCAAATTCAATTTGCCACTTCCCAAACTCAAGAATAAAGACGAATAAAAAGTATATTTTGTATTCCGTTCTTGATGTATGAATGTAGAGAAGTGAAATGATTGATCTTCTAAGATATTACGTTAAAACCAGAGCATTATCCGAGATGAAATTTGCGTTCAAATATAATTTGCCTCATTTCTTTGAAGCCTCAAGGGTACGTTGAAGAAATTTGTAATATTTTATGGCAGTTATTATTTTACTTATTTACGTGAAATAAATTCATCGAACACAGTAGTCGTTACTAACAAATATTTGTATTTTTACTAGAAATAGAGCTAAAACCTAAAAGATCGTCGGTGGCTCAGTGTTTTAAGCACTTGACTTGTAATCTACAGGTCTTGGGTTTGAATCCCGCCATGTCCCAATGTGATTTTCGATTCTTCGAATTTTCATACGTTTTAATTTACCCGACGTTCTTACGGCGAAGGAAAACAACGTGATGCCTGCACATTATCGGCGAAGAAATTCAAAGATATGTGTGAAGTCAACCAACCCGCATTGGGCCATCGAGGTTGACTATGACCTAGTCACACTAATTTAGGGTAGGCTCCGAGCCCCTCGTTGGAGACGTATAGTGAGCTGGTGATGATGATGATGAGAGCTAAATATATATCGAGATATTGTTGTTGCTGGTAATACATATATTGAAATAATTGAATCCTAATCAATTTATTAGTCTTAGAAGGTTTACGAAACAAATTCACTGCACGAGATAAAATTAGAAACGTTGTGATTGCAAGATTTGAACGTAAAAACTTTTGTTCCTTTTAAGAAAAAACGACAAAATAAATTATATAAGAATTTAAATAACAAAAGATTGAAATGTCATTGACGTCAAATAATGAAAATATTACCATAATCTCATTCTTTGCTATATGTAAAATAAAAATCATATACAATCTGGTAGGGAATGGAAATTTAAATAGGAGCAAATTTGATGGAAGGGGAAATTGGTGTTGTGTTACATCGCAAATTTAGAGGGGTTCCGAGGGGTTCCGTGGAGATGTGATTCAATAATACTACAGGAAGATATCGATATTAGGTAGCGGTTACAATAACTTTATAATACAATCCGTAGTTACTTAATGAAGAACAAACTTAAACATTTGAGAAATTGTCATCATAATTCTTAGTATCTCACCAAATTTTCATTGCCTCAAGAACAGAAACATTTTCATTACATTTGGACACGAAAAAGATGAACCTTATATTTTCGTAAAAATACTTTGGTAGTGGAAACTAGCGATTGAAAATACATAATTGCGATATGTATAACTACGTTAATCTTGTTGATATAAAACAAACGTATTAAGGCAATAAATCGATCCATCAAACGGATTTACAATCAATCTTAATTAATTAGCAAGATAGTGAAAACTGACACTAGCTTTTGCCGTCGACTTCGTAAGCAGAATGTGAAAACTACAGGTGTTTCTCGTTGGACCGATCAGCCCACTGATCAAACCATTGGAATTTATTCTACTGAAACGATGGAATACAAACAATTAATGGACATAAAGAAAACATCCTAACGGATCGATCGATTGATGAGCTATTATGTGTGACGATCGGTCCAACGGGAAACGCCCAAAAAACTTGTCAAGTGACATATGTAAAGTATTTAAAATATATATCAAATGTCAATCAGATTGTTTTGATCCGTTTGGCCTTATCGCAGTTACATGGCAACAAAATCTATCAATCTATCTAAACCTTAGTGTTTTACGATTAGATTTAAGATTATTGAAGTATGATACGTTATCTTGTTGTCTTAACGAGGTAAAATCAAAATACAGTGTTAATTCGTAACACGGAACTGTATTAACATTGTGAAAAGCGTTCGCGGAAAAATACGGTTTCGTATTCTGCAGATAAATGAACGTACCACCGCCGCCTCATCGGAATGCCTCACGTTACACTTCATTACGATATGTTTTCCTTTCCTGAAACATGACTATAGTATTAGTCAAGATTTCAACTCCAAATTTAATAATAAACCAGTTTGAGCCCGCGGCTCCGTCGGTAAAAAACAAAAGTATTTAACTATGTATATTTCCAGACGATCATCCACGTCTATGCTAAATTCAATCGAAATCCGTTCAGACGTTTAGGCTACAGATTCAAAGAAACATTCATCCATCCATTTATCTAAACTTACGCATTAGTAATATCACAAATAAGACTGTTTTCCTTTATTTATTTGTTTTTACTTCACGCATCTAGACACCAGATGTCCTTATAGATCTCAGGTACAGCTACTAAACCTTTCAGTTGACTATAGGTGACTACTAAAGGGCACTTGATTCTCTGTTTCATAAAAACGATAGAACTCGTATCTTAGTATGACCAACGTCCTTGTCTTTATCAGTTTAATCTCGCAAAGCTTCCCGTCTAAAGTGCGTGCAACATCCGAATGGAAAGCGTCACGTCGTGTTCATTATCATTTGTATTCAGAGTCGTCGGGGTGCTGGGTGCGCGGGGGGAGGGGTGCACCTGGAGGGCTGTCAGCCAACATGATTTATGTCTGTGCAAAAGTGAACAAAACTCCGCCGCTTTGTATGGAAATGTTCATCCTTTTCTTGACGGCCTTTTGTTGCTTGAAATTTGAATATTTCGTCCTCATGATACGAATCTAATTTCCCGGATTTTAATTAACAAATAAGACGTTCTGGGAATAAATGTTCTAAGAACTGTTAAGCTTAGGGTTTTGTCTTTCAATAACTATGACCTCCTAGTTCAGTATTTACATGTAAATGTACCATGTTTATATAGGTGTACATATAAACATGGCACATAACACAATAAGCCATCTTTTCTAGACTACATAGTATAAAAAGTCGCATTCTGTCTGTCTCTATGTAGGCTTAGATCTTTAAAAGTACCTAAAAGATATTGATTTAGGATTTTTATAAATAGATACAGTGATAATATAGTACAGAAATACTGAATTTAGAGGTTTCTAATATTACGTAAATAAACATTTATGTATAAGCATTGGACCCGTGCGAAGCAGATACGAGACGCTAATATTTTAACAAATTTGATTAGACTACATGTTTATCCGGACTTTTTTTTACGTATAGGCATTCATTTTTTAAGTGATAGTAGGTCAATATTTGTCGTGCGTTTATTTGTTAAAAGATTTTTGTTTTTCTTTAAAGTATCGTAGTTTAGAGAGGAGGGTTTTTCATTTTTTGTATGAAATTAAATTAATTACCTAGTCACAGAAGTAATTCTTTTGAAATCGAAAAATTATCTTAATGATATTACACAATTAAGAACTCGACTACTGAGTATTTGTTCATCAAACGTTTTCCCACAATTTATAATAAGATTCTTCTTTAGAATATCCTATAAACCAATCACGATCTTTCAAGGACAAGGAGTAGTTTTATATCGAAAAACTTTTTTTTTTTAATGCTTTGAAAAACATTTATTGAATAAAAACCAACATTTATTGAGACATCGAAGACTTTGCAAACATTTTGATTACAGTATTACATTTCATGGCGCATACTTTGGACAATATTTCTTAAAAATGCGTTCCCAGAATTCCAGTTCATCCTTGTCTGGTGCAGTACCGGCCACTAAATTAGTACCGATGTCCAAATAGTCCTGGCCTTCTAGAGAGTATGGTTTCCAAATAACGCCGAGACTTTCATCGGGTGTTGGGTTACTGTGAATAAAACAATATACAATAAATAACATTGTTAAACAGATACAAAATAAATATCAGTTATAATGACATCATATCTTACCCGTATTTAGCAAAATTCGTCCAAAGTTTTGATACTTGGTCTATTAGTTTGAAGACTCGTGGAATATGGATATTTGGGTCATTTGCGGTGAACATTTTCATAGGGAACATATAGGGAAGTTCATCACAATGACAGGCTACATCCCTATCTCCCACGACATCTTCGACTCCCATTACGCGCTTGAAAATATTCAATTCTGATTTGCAGGTAAATGAATAAAGGTAAACCTTATTTTTGCCTCTTTTTGCACACATTTTTTGAAATAGGATTGTGGGATACTTAAAGTATTCAGTACCAACATACTGTTGCAACGAGAACCAGTTGTCCATAGAAACGTCCTCATCTTTAAAATAGTAATTCTTTATCATTTTGCCTACTTCTATTTGATCGACTAAAGGACAATGTAAAGCGATTGGTCTCGGTACGAAAAATTCGGGATACTTATTCGATTGGGAGAACATTTTTGGGAGGTTTTGACCGCATCCTCCCATGAATAAAACTCCCTCATCGTCAGTGTAGCCTTCCATAATATCCACACCTTCATGTATACCAGAATTACGTAATACTTCAATAGCTTCGCTAGCCATGAACCGTTCGTTGTTTCCAAATTGTTTTTCCGCAGTTACACTAAAGGGCACCATAAAAGCTGCTTTGTTTGTTTCCAGATACGTTACTGTGACGTATTTATTAATAAGTGCGTCAACAGGTTGTGCTTTTAAAAATTTCAATACTTCGTTTACGTCTTTTGAAGTACATCCTAGTTCCCTAGCTAATTGGAATGATCTTTCTGTAGTCCTAAAATTAGTTCCCCAACAAGTGATAGCCTGTCCACTTTGTGGTATGGCTCTCTTAAACAATCCTTTGCTCATAGGTGACAAAAGGTGGAAGGAAACACTCACACCTCCGGCACTTTCTCCGAAAATTGTAACGTTGTTAGGATCTCCTCCAAAGTTGCTTATATTCTTTTGTACCCATCTAAGTGCAGCAACCTGATCTTTCATGCCGGCATTACCCGCTGCGTCTTCCGTGTCCAGGCAAAGAAATCCGAGAACGTCGAGTCTATAGTTAAGTGTGACGAGAATAACATCATTTCTTACTAAGTAATCTGGTCCGTACATCTGATCGGAACCACTTCCGCTTGTTAAACCTCCTCCGTGAATCCAAACCATGACCGGCAGCGGTTTGGACGGTGTTATATTCGGAGAGAATACATTGAGGTATAAGCAGTCTTCGCTTCCAGCAACGAACTTTCTAAGAAAGAAAGCATCGTATTGTTGACATGAATCTCCTAATTTCTTAGCATCTCGCACTCCGCTCCAAGGTTTTGGTGGCAAAGGGGCCTGTACGCAAAAAAAAACGTGTATGATAAAATCACAGAAGGAAAGCTGTAAGAAAAAAAATTAAAACATAGCTGCTATTTAATTTACATTTTGTGAAAGTCATATGTTTTCTCTAATTCTAAAATGGATTCCTGTCTAGTTACATGTGCTAAGTATTGAGCGTTTGCAGGTTTATATTTATAGATTGAATTTTTTTTGACTGAGTTGTCACTGTTTGCCTCGCAGAGGCATTTACAGATTCACCGGGCTTGAGGTGGCTGAGCGCAGATGGCGCTTAGCCTAAACCTCTTTTATCAGTAACTAGGCTCGAGGGTTCCCTCAGGAGCCTCGGCTCAGGCCGTTACTTCGTTATTATTACTGTATTGGGAGTCGATTGAGATGGAAGCTAGGATGGTAGATAGGTAGAGAAAGGTAGCGAGGGGGTAGAGGAGATACACGCGGCTATATCATGTACCACAATGTACCATGTTGACAAAATAGAAGAATTATTATATATAAAAAATGCTTTCATTAATTTTGCATTAATAAAATTGTGAAAAAAAAAAACAGAATTTTAAATTTACATCAGATTTACCTTGAACCTGAGGTCTCCTAGAGGAGGCTGTGCGTATGGAATGCCTTTGAAGCTGAATATCTTTCCCCCATACTCGTTGTTGATCACCTCTCCTTCTAAAATGCCGTCGCTAATTCTTACCTGAACCATATTGGTACTCTACTGAAACTGTTTTTACAAGCAACTGAATGAGAAACGCAGAGACGTCTCATTATAAAGAAAATTTTGTGCCGATTCATTCAATCGCTTCGCAGACGCTATTTCTTATCATACGATAAGCTGTTTCCCACGGCTGATTCCGTATAGTTTATAACAATCTTTCTTCCCAAATTTAGACATTTTTGTACGAAAATTGAGTGGTTGAGTAGAATTTGTTACATAGATTATAAGCAGATAATTAAAAAACTAAAAACCTTAATGACTAAAGCTTAAAATTATAAAATAACTCGAAAACATAAATGGAAAGACATTTATGCGAGTGAGATCCTCATGTCCACTGTAGATTTTTTGTGACGATGTAAAATACCCTGTGAATTCGATTCACACCTCAAAATCCATTTAGTTGTTTTTAGGCTGTCACAATGAAATGTACGAACAACACGCCCGCATACATAAAAACAAGATATTCTGAAAAAACAAAACACTAAAAAGTTATTCAAAAATATTTACAAGAAGGACAACTGAATAAAACAATACGTACGTACAAACTGAAACATTTAAGAAACAGGCACCATAATTATTAGAATCTCACCAAGTTTTCATTGCCTTAAGAAGATAAACATTGTCATCTTTTTTATTATATTTGATAACGAAAAATAGGAATCAGTTTTTGCACAAATGCTTCAGCAGGGGAAACTCGAGATTGAAAATACATAATCGTGATTGACATAATTTAATCTTGTCTTGTGTTGACATAAAACAAACGTATTAAGACAATAAATCGATTCATCAAAAGGAGTTACAATCAATCTTAATTAATTAACAAGACAGTGAAAATAGACACTAGCTTTTGCCCTCGACTTCGTAAGCGGAATCCGAAAACTACGGTTGTTTCCCGTTGGACCGATCGTCACATTGGGATTTATTCTACTTGGACGATGGAATACATACAATTAATGGACATAATGAGAAGAAATCACAACGGATCGATTGATTAATGAACTGATATGTGTGACGGTCTAATGGGAAACGCCAAAAAAACTTCTCAAGTGACCTATGTAAAGTATTTAAAATATATATCAAATGTTAATCAGAGTGTTTTGATCCGTTTGGCCTTATCGCAGTTACATGGTAACAAAAATCTATCCATCTATCTAAATCTTAGTATTTTACGATTATAATTTAAGATATATCAGTTGGTCCAATAATAATTTGACAAGCGCGCAACAAATATAAATAAAGCAATAATTTGTGCGATAAGGAAGTTTGTTCATAAGTGGATAAAACTGGTTATCACAAGACTGTATTTGTTATTATTTTGATATTGTTTAAATATATGCTAACTCATATCGCTACTACATTTCGATACCTATAGTGTTCTTATAAGATTTTGGTTATTTTTATCAAAAAGTTATTGCATCATATTTATGCTAATACTTACTTCAATTTAATATTTATAAGATTAAAAACTAAAAACAAAAACATGAATTCACTTTTATTTAGTTTTACAAAAGTTACACTTTCTCTATACCATACTAGAGATTCTAGTCCTATTCCCTCTGTCCACAATATTCCTACAAGGAGAGAATGGGCAGGGAAAGTAAATTTGGCGAGGGCTTGAACCTATATTCAAGGGAAAAAAACCTCTATCTGTGTGTCCTCTGTCACTTGAAGGTAGGCACCATGTCTGCAAATGCGGATGTATGGCAGCGGTTGCTTCGCTATTTAGGCGAATTCCGGTGGCCGTTTATCCGTTTTTCAGCATGTGACTTAATGTAATCCCTGAAGAGAGGAAGAGAGAGTCCACAGTGCGCCGCCAGCTACCTATAACCTGGGCACTTAATCTAAAATAAATTAGTTTTCGTCTGAGACTCTATCCTTATAAGGTAAAAAACCTATGTGTTCTTTCAGACTGTCCTCTAAGTCTGTGCCAAATTTAATTGAAATCCGTTCAGTCGTTTAGGCTACAAACTCTAACAAGCATTCAGCCATCTAAACTTTTGCATTTATAATATCAGTAAGAAGTAAGATTCTTTTGATGTTTTACATTACTGTTTAAGCACTTACTCTATTTTCAATGTTATGGAGGTGCGCACACTATTCGATAAATAGTTGAAAGTCAGTACAACAACCGTATCCATTGGTTTTTTAGAAGAATTTTAATAAATAAAAAGAAGGGGTATTTACATTTCATTCCTTACTCGACCGAGTTCATTGAACTGCAAAACGCTTTTAGCATTTCAGTTTGTTTTTGTGAAAGTGATAAATAAGCTTGTATGAATTATACGTCTCCCTCACCCTTGTACGGAATATTCAGATAATGAATTTAATATGAGTGAAATATTTACTTGCACCAATGTTTATATGAAATATACGAGTAGTTAGTAGTTACTTAGGCGGTGTTTTGACCCATTTGCAGATGATGATTTATATAAGATGTTAACGAGGTTATTAAATACTATGTTTTAACTTTATTTACTTAATAATAATTAAAAGAAAAGTCATTATACTGCACAGCAGTGTGTTGAAAGACACCCATTTCTTATTTGTATTTTGCGTTTGTTTTTTTATTTGTTTTATTTTTTCTAATGTCTTGATCTTATGATACATGACTTTAAAAATTTATAATCACTGCTTCCGGCAATTCGTTATTTATTATTCAACGTCACATTTGGGAAATCTGCTGATAATTATTTTTTAATAATAATGATTCCTGATAATGGTTAATATCAGCAAGCGATAAAAGGGTTAACATATCTTTAACCTATATTGTAATTGAAACACTGCCCAATGTTTTTATGATTAGGCCAGAATACTAATATAGTTAAGCAATTTTAATTAAAAAGTAGCTGATCCCGCGCGACTTCATCCGCATAAAATTTTAAAATTTTATTTTGAAAATGAAAAATGAAATGAAACAATGTATTAAAAACAATAAAAATGAAAATATTTCATTAAATACAATAAATATTAAATTTAAAATAATTAACTATTTTACATTAACTTAAAGTTTTACATTACAGAAAATTTTAAATTGTAGTTATCTTAAGTAATTTTTTATGGTACTTTTTTTTATTTATAAACTTCTACAGACTCTTGGTCCGTACTCTTTTTTGCACAGTTTGTTTTCCTTTTCTTTTTTTATTTCTTTTTTTTTGTTGCATAATCCGTATATCACTAGTAAGTTCCTTTTTTTTAAATACAATATACTACTGCTTTTACTTATACTAGCGCGACAGTTGCCAGTGGCGATGGATGTATCATTGAACCGAGTCTATGTAATTTTTTTCAGATATTTGTTTTTTGATTGTTTGATTGATTAGAGGACAATGTATAGCGATTGATCTCGGTACGAAAAATTCAGGATATGTGTTGGCCTGGTTGAACATTTCAGAGACGCTATAACCGCACCCTAGGAATAAAACTCCCTCATCTTCCGTATATCCTTCCATAACATCCACACCTTCATGTATACCAGAATTACATAATACTTCAATAGCTTCGTCGACATAAAACGTTCATTATTTCCAAATTGTTTTTCTAGAATAATATTAAAGGGCACAATAAGAGCTTCTTTCTTTAATTCCGTATAGTCATTGTAACGTGTTTCTTAACAAGTGCTTCAATAGGCTGTGTCTATGTGCCTATCGTACTTTGAGTTACACCCTAGATCTCGAGCTAATTGCAGTGATCTGTCTTTAACCATAAAGCCTGTTGCCTAATGCGTATTAAAGAGTCCACTTTGTGGTATTGCTCTCTTAAACAATCCTTTACGTATAGATGATATAAGGTAAAAACAAACGCTGCCCTCTCCGGCACTTTCTACAAAAATTATGGAATAAACAATTATGTCGCTATTGTAAAACCACTGAGGTTTTTTTAGCGTTTTACTATATAAAAACAGTTTTAACACAATTTTGTATTCTTAAAAGCAAGTGAAAAAATGTGTTTTTTTTATTTTTTTTTCAAATTGAGAACTAAACTACTGAGTGTTTTTTCATCAATCGTTTTTCCACAATTTACAATAAGAATCTTTTTTAGAATATCATATAAGCCTATCACGATCTTTAAAGACAAGGAGTATTTTTATATCGAAAATTAAAATTATTTTCTTTTCTAAAATTCTGTGAAAAAAACTTTATTAAAAAAAAACCAACATTTGTCGTTACATCGAAATCTTTGTAAATATTTTTTTACAGTATTATATTTCATGGCGCATACTTTGGACAATATTTCTTGAAAATGCGTTCCCAGAATTCCAGTTCATCCTTGTCTGGTGCAGTACCGGCCACTAAATTAGTACCGATGTCCAAATAGTCCTGGCCTTCTAGAGAGTATGGTTTCCAAATAACGCCGAGACTTTCATCAGGTGTTGGGTTACTGTGAAGAAAACAATATATAATAAATAACATTATTAAACAAATACAAAATAAATACCAGTTATAATGACATTATATCTTACCCGTATTTAGCAAAATTCGTCCAAAGTTTTGACACTTGGTCTATTAGTTTGAAGACTCGTGGAATATGGATATTTGGGTCATTTGCGGTAAACATTTTCATAGGGAACATATAGGGAAGTTCATCACAATGACAGGCTACAGCCCTATCTCCTACGACATCTTCGACTCCCATTACGCGCTTGAAAATATTCAATTCTGATTTGCAGGTAAATGAATAAAGGTAAACCTTATTTTTGCCTCTTTTTGCACACATTTTTTGAAATAAGATCGTGGGATACTTAAAGTATTCAGTACCAACATACTGTTGCAACGAGAACCAGTTGTCCATAGAAACGTCCTCATCTTTAAAATAGTAATTCTTTATCATTTTGCCTACTTCTATTTGATCGACTAAAGGACAATGTAAAGCGATTGGTCTCGGTACGAAAAATTCGGGATACTTATTCGATTGGGAGAACATTTTTGGGAGGTTTTGACCGCATCCGCCCATGAATAAAACTCCCTCATCGTCAGTGTAGCCTTCCATAATATCCACACCTTCATGTAT